TTACCGACAAACTATGTTTGGAAAGATCTTCACAAATTTCCTCCTATGAAGCTCACCTGATGTAACTGTAGGCTGTTGATTACTTCAAGCGTGACCTTGTCCGGGGTTACTGTGCCCTTTACGCTCTTATTTACTAGGGTGAGGCTTGCGTGGATTTTTTGTACCTAAAATATCCGTAGTATTTCAAATACTATATGTAATCAAGCCTTCTGTTTGGAGAGATAATCAAAATGAACATAAAACTTGTTAACTTTTATGCATTATATTTTATGCGCTGACTACAATAAGGAGTGCCAGTAGGCAATTCCCCTCTTTCAAACGTTGTAGTTACAACCAGAATGCGCAGGCTATGTGCTAGGTAAAAGTTAAGTTCTGGGATAAGAACACTTGACGAGTTGAATCAATAGATCAACACCATAGTATCTAGCAAAGATTGATTTGTGATGACCTAGTAGAAAGAAAACTTTACTTTTTAGAAAGTTAGTAAATATATTACAGGCATACAGCAGGATACCTCAACGCTCTCTCACAGAGATATTATGGCACCGCAATCAGTGAACAATGGAAAACTCAAAACCGGCAATCAGGCAATATGCCATTGTCTATTATAAACGCATACAAATACAACAAACACCTTTTAGGAGTTAGGGAAATCTTCAGTAGAGATTGTGGAATTGGCAGGATTCTTACTTCGCATTCTGTGATATGGGGCATCAGCGTGACAGCCAAATACGCTGTACAACTTCAGAAGTTAGCTAATGTTTTTCATCAGAAACCCAGAACCACGACTCAAGCTTGTTCTGGCGACAAAAATTTAACGCCGCCAAAAATTCGTTTGCCTCAGCCGGCTACTTTTTGGACATGAGGTTCTCAGATCCCTCAGTGCTGAGGAAAGGTGATGGACACAGACGGTCAATATATGATTCTGAAGTTTTTGAACATGAGATGAAATAGGTGAAATTGTTTCAAAACTTCGATCCAGTCTTATATAATTTGGTGTTCAACGAAAAGTCTTTTGAAATGTTGTCGAAGCGACATTTTCTTCCCTAACTGTGTAAGGTGTAAGTGGAATTTTTGATTTGTTTTATAAGATCGGTGTGAGATTTTGAGCAAAATCGAGACCTTTTAAGACGTTGGCTCTTTTTGATAAGAAAATTTTCATAAAAATTGCATCGAGACAAGTCTTGCTTCGCTTTGACATTTTCCATTTATTTTTCAGGAAGGTGATTTGTTTTATAATATTTGCGAAATTTATGCGATTCCAAGAGCTCTGATAAAGGTTAAAAAACTCACGAGTTTTATTGCATGAATGAACTCTAAAGATACAACCTCTGTTATTGGGTCTGAAGACTCCTTCGGGTTTGGCAGCTGCAAAGATTTCAAGATTACTTTTTGGATAAATTTTATTGTTAGGAAAATCATAAGCGACCTGTCTGCTATGAAGATCATTGCCTTGGCACAGTCTTTTCCAAAGCTGCAGTATTGGCGTGCAGGCCTGCGCCCAACTGTTGCGATCGTGTCCAGTAGTGGTTTTCACTAACAAAACCATTCTACCTTTTTATGCTGAAGAAATGTGGATATGTCAACCTGCAGTTCGTATTCTTGCTATAGTGTTCTCCGCTTCTGTCAACTCCCATGAGAACTTGATGTTTACTGGAAGCCCAAACAGACTTGGATCGTCTTCTGCAGGAATGGCAGTAGTAATGAACTTTCGAAACTCCTGAAAACGGGCACACAATCACGTAACGTAATCAATATCATCGTGATGTAATGATTACCTGAATACTAGCCATTGCAGGAAGTTCGATGCCTTTCGCCAAAAGTTGCCCAGAACGCCCAGTAACTTTCTCAGAAGTGAAAAACGTGATGAGGTAGGATTCCAGCACTTGGCTATCAAAAACATTCTCTATGCGTCCACCGTAAATGACGAACATCAGCAAACCTCTTATAAACTCCCAGTCAGCTTCTAAAATGACTCTTTCTTAAAGAGAGAATCGCAGTTCGCCTTTTTCATGTAGAGTGTTTACGACTGTACATGGCTGCTTATGCTCTAAAACTCTAGTTTGATTTAGAAGTTCACAGTTTTTGTGCTTCTTCTGCTTCTGCTGTGTTTAACAGATCTTAGCTGCTTACTCCTTTGTAAGAGAACGCGTAACTTTTTTTGCAATCAACAATCATTTGTAAGCAGAACCTCTTGTTTACGAAGGGGTTGTGCAGATTCAGTCAAAGTTCTACCCTTTTCGGTGGTCTTTTAAAGCATCTTTTCAACCGCCATTTGTTTCCAACACTTTTCTATAAAATAAACTTACTGGATTCTTTGATGAATGTTTCCACAAAAACACGAGCGACTCGTACATCAGAATTGCTGAACTCGTAGAATTTCGTCCATGCCTGCAACATTACATCTTAATGAGTTCTGTGAGCAGTAGTCAGTGGACAAATTTCTTTTGGGGTTAGCGACCTGTGGAATGAAAGTACGCCTCTCTTGCAGCAGCGCATGTAGCCAGGCTAAGACAAAAATAGCCTGTAGTGTAAGAGCTGAGCGTCTGGCCTCGTCTATTTGAGAATACGTTCGAAGAAGATTGTTTCGGAGGCCTTAAAGAGTTGTTTGTTTGAAAAAAAAAACACTCAACTCGTTCACCAAAGTTGCGTTTTTCACAACAAAAAAAACCACTTACCGGGTGGCGGCTCAAA